TGTTGAGTGCAGCTGAGTAATGTTTGTGGTAGCAGTAACTCAGACTTTATCTAAAATCTAGAAACCCAGCTCAAAGCTGAATGTTGCATTAATATAGCTGTTTGCATTTAAATGGTTTCTTTTCTTAGGGGAAAAAAAAAGCATACTTCTTAAGACAGCAATAGAAGGTAACTGTCCTTTCTCCTGAGCATTCTTTTCTATCAATGTCTTTGTTTACACTTTCTGCAGGACTCTGTCATCAGGAGAATATGGGTGTATGAAGCATGAGCTTAATTAAGTCTTTTGGATAAAATAAGGGAAGAGATGCCTTATACGCTTGACCTTTCAGCGTTTTGTTTTCAAGCATCCATTATGCTGCTTTGTGCTTCTGTATATTAAGATTTTAAGTAGTGTTGAAATTTAATGCAGGACCCTGTATACTAGCCTATACTTTTCAAAGAATTACTTTAATGAATATATTTCATCTTGAGTCTAAAAAGCAGAGAAGTTTTATTAATGTTTTCACTCCCTCTTCTGCCTTTTGGCAGGTTATTAAAACTTTGCTGATCCACCTCTACTTTCTAGGGGAAACTTGCTTTTTTTTTTTTGGTGTGGTTTTTTTGTTGTTTGTTTGGTTTTTTACACAATGTTCAGGTTAAAGAAGGCTATGATCACACAATGCTAAATAGATACCCACATGCTAGTTTTTCATGTCATGGTATGTAGATGGCTGGTTTCTCTATGAATCTATCTGCAATAGTATTTCACTTCAAATGCCACAGATCTTTATTTATAAATGTAATGGTTTCTGCTTAGTGGTGGTGTTAATTGTTTGTGGCTCTTTGGGGCAGATGTGATTTATTGTACTCCATACTTATTACAAACACTTGATTCTGTTGGAAGTTCTGTTCTTTGAGCCCTAAGATTTTGCAGGGAACGAAGTATCAACATATGCATTTTTCTAGTTTGTTAGGAGAAACTAAGTTTGTTGTGAAATGCTTAAACTACAGGAAGATTCAGCACAATTTTGACAAAAAGTATTTTAAATAGTCATAAAACAACAGACTAACGAAAAATTCAGTGAGCCTCTTTAAGGGCCTTTCACTCATCACCTATCAAGTTTTATGGCATATTTGTCTGCCACAGACTTCTTCCTTCCTGTCTCTCCATATCTTTTATATTGCCTCACTGCAGCTTCTTTCGTGCTGGTGCAAAAGCAGGTGAGAGCCTTCTGCGCAGATCTGAGCAGGTGGCGCATGGGGTGGAGATGCAGGTTTCTTAGAAGTATTTATTTCTTACCTGGAACTGCCAATGAGACTTACCTCCTAAGGAGGTTAATGTTACACTGTCACATAGGCAGAGCTCTTCTCAAACCTCCTTTGACAGATACTTTGCTGTCAGATTTCTGAAAGATTATGGCCTTTGCTTAGAAAGGGATGTGTGTTAGGGGTTGCTCCCTCTCCTCCCTCTTTTTTTTTTTTTGTCTTTGTTCTGTGCTTTGACAGAGTTGAGTTTGGGAGCCCTATTGTTATGTTCTAGTAATGGGAGCTTTTAGTTACATTTAGGAAATAACTTAAAGTTATGTAGAAGAGGTTTATATGAAGAACTTCCATGTTGCTGTTCACAGTCTGAGTGGAAATTATTTTAAGTGTAATGCCTAGTTTGAAAAATGCTTAGCCTATTATTAGTTCCTCTGCTAGGACCAATCATTCTCACTGGGGTTGATACCCAGCTGATGTGGACCTGACTGTGAGCAGTGATTATGTGCCAGTATAGACAAGAATGACAAGCGAACAGCTCAAAGATACGTACTAGTGTTTAGTGGAATTGCAAGCAGGGTACAAAAGACTGACCTTTTCTGTCAAAAATTTGTGAAAATTTCCCTAGATTACTTAATGTGTCACAGAAGTAAATCCTTTCTGTGGGAAATTAGAGATTTTTAAGTTATGGAATATTGATTAAAAATGGGCTGCAGGTGTTGCTTTCAGTTGAGTTAAATAGCTATGCATGATTCACTCCTGTAATATAGGCAGTTGGACTATAAATTAAAAATACAGTTTCTGTATTTTACCATATAAGTGGATTAAAAATGTGTATGAGGAAGGCTGATTTTCAGATGAATGGGCAGCGTATTGGGTTTGCTGGGGCTTTCAATTCAGAGCTAAGTGATAGTGTTGTTACTCTTCTACTTCTGGCAGGAACGTGTTGAGCCCTCCATGACAGATTCTGTGGTGGTCATGCAGACGATGCGAGTCTGCAGAGAGTATTAACGTGAACTTACAAACATTAAGAAAATCATACAGAATGCCTTTGATACTCAATAGAAGGGTGAAACTGAAATGTGGAGCAGTTCTGCTTTAGGATGTTCTCTCAGGTCAAGTGTTGGTCTGGTCAGTCTCTTCCTCTCTGTAGTCAGTGGAGAACAATACATGCTCTTGGAAGGCAATTTGGAGTGTGTCTCAGTGCTCAGTTTTGCGCGAGTGTAGGGAGACTGTGGTAGAGATAGCTTATCTGACTCTTTGCTCTCCAGGCTGACAGTCATCTTCCCTGATTTCGGGCATCTATTTCGGGGTAGGATGAATTGGCCCCTGAAAGAGCTTCTTTTCTACTGAAATGGTTTGGGAGTTAACTTAGAGTTGCTGCTTCATTCAGTGTCCAAAGTTTGGGAGTATTTCTCCTGTCCTTTCCTAGCCCCCCTGCCACTCCACAAGTATTTAGAAATACTATTACTACTTACTGTTTTCACTTGTCCATTTTTATTACTGGTAGCAGAATTTTGGGAAAATAGTTCAAACTAAACTGAAATAAAACCATATATGTTAATATTCCATTCTCATAAGCTGACGTGCTTAAAATTACGATAATGAGTCTGAAACTCTGAGCCATTACTTACCATTTTATAGGCAGAAAGATATTTTGTCTGAGTGGTGTGAATTGAATGAAGTTCCTGATTTTAACTTTTTCTGGATAGCTGCGTACATAAAAACACTAGAAACCCAAACATAAGATGTCTTTATGATATGTGATCATAAATGTGTAGAAGAAAAGAAAAGAAATTGTCCAAATTAATTGGGTAAAACTTCTGCAGATTTGATTTGTCTTCACCATGGATTAATATCAAACTCCTGTTCTTTTTGTTTGTGTTTTTTAAATAATCTGCTTTAAGGGGCATGAAATCTTCCATTTTGTTTATCTGATTTACATAAATTAAAAACCAAACAAAACCACAACAAAGATATCTCACAGTCCAGAGAGCTTTTTAAACCAGCATTTTTCATGACTACTGAATGGTAACTTGCTCTTTGAAATATTGACATAATAAAAATATACGAGAAACAAGACCCTCCTGTGAAACATGTACACATAACACACTTAGCTTTTAAATTCAGTCAAGAGTGGCTGTGTAACTTCAGCTTTATGGCAAGTACTGAGCCTAGGTTGGCTATTTCTTCTGTTGCGGAAGATGAATATTCACAGTATGAAGTAGAGCAAACTCTGAAAGGCATGTGGTTTCTTCTTGGAAACTTGAAAGATGTCAGTGAAAGGACTGAATTTTTACTTAGTCAAAGATGTTCCATTATTAAACCACTTGTAAATGAGATCTAGTAACTTACTAAAACTGGAAAAAGGGTAAAACTGGCCTTATGATGGCTTAGGCCCTTTCCTAGTAAGTGGTGAAGGGGTGTTTTGTCTAGGTATGGCTAGAAGAAGTATTTGCTACTTTTTAGCATACTGCTTACCTCTCTAGTTTTTTCAAGACTTACCTCTTGATTTTTTTTTTCTCCCCACCTTCCTCCCCCCCACCAACTGCCAAAATATTGTTGCTTCCCCAAAACAACAGAAGACTGAAATTGCAAGCATCTGTACTTTGGTATACTTGCTTTTTATTGCCACTTTATCAGTGTTAATTTCTAAGACTGGTCCTATGGAAGCTGGAGGGTGGTAATTATATAAAGTGCTGTTTTATAAGATGGATTGCTGAAAGAAAACAAAAGAAGAAATGTTCAGTGTCTATGAAAAGCAGTTTTACTTCTTCAGAAAGGGCTTTGCCTCCTTTCTTTTAAATAGTATTAATACTGAAAATGAATAAGTGTGTCTTTGTTAAATATGCCATTAACTTCAGCTAAATTGACATAATGTTGACAGTTGTTATGAGAACTGTTTCAAAACTAATTATGCTAATTAGAACATAACTACCAGTAATTGCATGTATTCAAACAGCACCCTTTTGTATGTTTTATTCCCCAGATGCAAGACATGTATTTGTTGCCTGAGAAGCTGCAGAATTACAGCTTAGATAATAAATGATTGCAAACAAATATACCACATTCTTTAGAAACACTAATTGGTTAGATAAGTGAATGACAATATCAATTGTGCTTTGGCAAACCACATAATCAAAAAAAAAAAGCCTTTATTTAAATGTTTCATTTTAGAATTGTTGGGAATTTTTCAAATCATTAATTGTGTTCAGTTTTATCTAATGAGTATCAGGCATAGCTGAATTTATTTTTATATAAACTTACTAGAGAGCAAGGGGAACCTGCATCTGCAACTTGGGTTGCTTTAACTTTTAGCTCTTTCTGTCCAGAAATTCAGGTCTTTAAGGCCTGAGATTGTTGGTTGTGTCTGTGAGCAGTGATTTAATACTCTGCAAGTTAATGAGCTTGCATAAGGATGGCAGGCATGTGTGAGAAACATGAAGAAGGTATAATAAACTTGCGTAGGTAGCTAATCTTGGGTCTGTCTCTTAAAATCTCCCCCAAAGGGTTAGCTAGATTTCAGAAATACTGAGTCTGAACTGAGGAAGTTATTTGAATGCTAAGACTTTTCATAGATTTGAATGCTATACTCTTGTTAAAACCAGCTCAACATCTAAGACTAATCACTGAGAATCTTTTTAAAATGGAAAGTATTTATTCCTATGAAATGTTAAAATTGCCAAGTAATGGTAGCAGGTTTTCCGTGCTTCAGTTGCTTCTAGCTTTTAAGACTAGAAAGTTGTTCGCTCCTTATACATTAATATGTATTTGCATTCATATTTCTTTGTCTCTGTTTGCCATCTAACAAATTCTTATTTGCAGTTCTAATTCAGTAGTTAGTTCTAATTTAGTAGTAGAGAGAGGGAAATGAACAGCCATCTTCATAAGTACTCCTTTATACTCAATATTTGTATACAGCAAAAGGCTGGCGTAGACCTGGACTGGAGCCATGAAACAGTAATACTTTCTGACAAACTGATGCAATAAGTTGAAGACTGGGTGCTCTGTTTCACAAATATATACATA